TTTGTTTATTTCAAGGCTTACAAACTTGCTTCTTGTTATTTTAACTTCCAATCCTTACAGTGATGAAACACCCCAAGAGACAGCTTGGTTAGCAGTGTCGAGATCACTGGATGTAGATTAAAATTAGGCAGGGTAGGGCTATAGAAGCATGGAGAATATTGAAAATTCATGTTCTTGTATGATAATTAGAATAATACTACAATGTTCTGGTATCCATATTTTATTTGTAAAATTATGAAACATTCAGTTAAATATTGGGAACCTAATAAATATGTACTTGATATAAACATTAAAGAATCTTAGACAACATGTTACAAACTGAATTCTATAGAATTTCAGTGTTTGTGTATTATTAATGTGTGTTTCATGGGGAAAACAAACATTAGAAAATAATGAATTAGGTGTTTTAAATCGACAGACTTAGCAACACATTATACTGGTATACATTATTAATCTTTGTTGTTTCTTATGCTTGTCTGGCCACAGAACTGCACACACGTGGTTATAACAAGACTTTGCAAAACTTGGTTTGGGATGTATTCTATAGAACACATTTAAGGAATGCTTATTTGAAGAAAAATGTGAAATGAATTAAAAATGACTAAGTCTTGGATAAATTTACTCAGAACTTTCCCCATTCAAAACTGTGTGCTAGGCCATAAGCCCTGCCCCAGGGAATTCACACATGAACTCATATTCAAGCTTGCTCTTCGTGCAGGACATTTGCACTTGCTGTTCTCTCTTCCTCATAGCTTACTCCCTTACTTCACATGGGCCTCCCCTCCAGCGTTGCCCATATAGAGAAGTCTTCCCTTTACTTGTCTTAAATAGCAACCCATCACTCCCTAATTCTGTATCATGCTTAACATTTTTCAAAGCACTCAAAATAATTTTACATGTGCATTCATTTATTAGTTTGCTGTTTATTCTACTGGAAGTTAGCCCTATGACAGACATGTCTCTTTTGTCTAACCTTGTATTTCCAGGTACTTAAACTAGTACCTGGCATTAGTAGGTGCTCAATAAATACAGAGTGGGACAAAAGAAGGTTTACAGTTGTGAGTATGCAAAACACAGAATTTATTCTTATACTGTTATCTATTAACTATTATATTATTTTTCATATGAATGACTATAAACATACTTTTGTCCCGCCATGTATTTGCTGAATGAATGAATAATAAAAACAATTTCATAAGAATACCATAGAAAGGGTAAAATAAAAAGGCAGGGAATTTTTATTTAGGTTGCTAAGCAAGGCTTTATCAAGAAGATGGCAGGGAAGAGACTGATAGCTGTAGGAGGGGAGGGAATGGTGGACAGAAGGGGAAGGGACTAGTCAAAGGACATGTCTGAGTGACCCATGGGCATGGACAGCAGAGAGGGGATGGACTGTGGGTGAGAGAGGTGAGCTGGATGGATGGGGGGGCAAAAGGGAAAAAAGAAATGGGAACAACTGTCATAGAATCACTAAATAAATAAATGAATAAATAATTAAATATAAAAGATGATATGTGAGCTTGACTTTGAAGATGAGAAGATTCTGTCATGGGGCAAATGAGATACAGAGCCTAGGGTAAGAAAAGGGCTTCATTAAAGCCCAGACGTAGCCTGGAGAAGTAGCCTTGTGACAGGCATGGAAGAGAGACTGCCACAACCTCGGAGCTAGCAGCCTATCTGCTGCACTTGGGAAGGAGAAGCTACCAAAGCAATGATGGTGCTCAAACCAGGGTTCCACTTACATCTTTGAGTCTTGCCTGTTCTATGTATGTTTTTCTGATTCAAATAGTTCATTCATTCATTCAATTTTCTATTATGTGCCAGGTACACTTCAAGGTGCTACGGATTCAGCAGTGAGCAAAATATAAAAATCTTTGCATTCATGGGACTTACACTCTAATGGGGAAAGAATGTGATCCTCTAATTACACTATCTGCTGTAATTATAGAGTATAGCAGAAAGTGTTCAGTACTGGTGGGAAAATGGAGCAAGGGAGATGAGTAGTATCAGGGCAAGGGCTGCATTTTCAAAACTTTTATTGAAGTATAATAAATACATAGAAAATACATATATCATTAATGTACCACTCCCTGAGTTTTCATTCACTGAATAAACCCATGTAACCAGCATGCAGAACAAAAAAAAAACGAGCATTATCAACAACTCGGAAGCACTACTACACCCTTATAGTAATTAACTCCTCTGCCAAAGGTAAGTATTACCCTGACTTCAAATAACAAGAGCTCAGTGTTGGCTGCCTTTGCACTTTTACATAAATGGAATTGTTTGTTATGCATTCTTTTTTTATTAGGTGGCTTTCCCTTCAGCCTTATGTTTATGAGATTCATCCGTATAACTGCATACATGGTTGGAGGTTGTTCATTCTGATTTTTGTGTAACAGCCCACTGTGCAACTATACTACAATTTGTCCTTCCAATTGCCGTTGGGCGTTTGGATGTTTTCTAGTTATTGGCTACTGGAATAAATGACAAGAGAGCAGAAGTAGAAGACCCATTCCGCCCTTTGGTTTCCATTGCCTTCCTTGATCTGGGTCCTCCTCTTTTCTCACACGGACTACTAAATTGATCTTGGATACATACTCGTCTCCCACACTGAGGTCAGAACAACCTTTCTCAAACTCCTATCTAATGACATCATTCCCTAGTTAAAATCCCTGTGTTGCTCCCTACTGGATGAAGTCTAAGACATTTAGCCTAAAAATCAAAGTCCTTCACCATTGGCTCCCATCCCACCTTTTTATCTTTAGCTCAGGCTTGCATCTCTGTGAAACCTTTTCTCTATCTCATTTACCCAACATGACCGTGAAATCAGACTCTTGCTAATATTATGTGAATTACCAGTCAGTTCTTAACATTCTGATGGCCAGGTACAGCCTTTGATTTAGGACTGGTTTCACTGGGGAACACATGAAGAATGCCACCTTTTTCTTAAATCAGACAACTTATTACCCTACTTGTTTATCAGCCTGGGAAGGGAGGGAGAAATAACTACCATGCTTTGCCACATATAATGTGTACTTTTTTGCCCAAATTTTTTGGGGAAAAATAAGAATGCATATTATACATGGGTAGTACTGATTCTGTATCTATATAAATGTTTTTAATTCTTTTGTTTATGCTTATGCATTCAAAGTGTAACTCTAGAAACCAATAACAATATCCGTATGCAAAATAATACCCTGGAATACAATCATTAGTTTTGTTGTACCAAATTTTTTGTACCTTGTATTTGTTCTTGTGTTTTGTAATAAGCTGTTACATAAAATTTCTTGTACCATAATACATGAAAAATAAGTGCTAAAATTCCTTTATAATACAAAACACAAGTAACTAAATATAAATAAATTTAAAATTGAATTAAAAAATTAAAATGAAAGATTTTTTCCCTGAAAGTTAGGGCCAAAAAACACAAGTATGCATTATACATAACAAAGTATGGCAATACTGATATTACCTTACAAGCAGAATCACAAAAGATCAGGCACATTAGCAACTGAATTTGAGCTGTAACTAGTCAAACAGGCTTCCTCTCAATAGAATCGGTGCAGTGACTAGAGAGTACAGACAGGGGGTCCAAGCAGAAGGTCCGACATCCCTGTCAAGGAAAGCACTTGAAAAGAAGAGGCGTCATAAAGAAGCCTTATAAAAACCCTTAGGTGGAAACGAGGGGAGAACTCTGCCATCTGGGTTACAGAGAGGCTATAAGGGCTGCCAAATGTGCTTTAATGGTCATTGGTGGGAAACCTGGCTTCCCAAATGAAGGGAAAAGATGCCAGAACATATGCTGCACACAGATGGCAAAGTAATTTGCATTGACTATAAAAATTTTCCCATCAGAAGAAGACCAGAACCAGTAAGAGATCCCAGTTCATTTTTTTTTGGTTAAAACAACAACTAAAACTAAGTAGACAATGGAATATCAGGTTGAATAATTCAACAAAGAAAATACTTTAGGAGCAACTATTATGTACAAGGCACTATGCTAAGTAATTACAGTGCTACACAGGTGACTAGGGCGGAGTGCTTTCTTCCAGGAACTCACAGTTGAAAGGAGTAGAAAGCCACATAATAAATATCGCTAATAGGAAGAAAGCTTAGAGAAGGCTTCTAGCAGAGGCACTCAAGGAAAGGATTCTGTAAGTGATTTTAGTATGTAGGGGAGTCCCTTTTATGGACCTAAAATAAGACACAGATAAGCAGCTATGCTGGCCGAGTGAGTGGGGAGCCAGGGCCTGGGAGCTTGGGAGCAAAGGTGGGAGTGGCGTACTAGGACCCAGAGAGAATCCTGGAAATCACGCCTTGCCTTGCATTAGTATGAGGGATAGAGCCAAGGCAGAAACCCATGACTGTATTGCTAATCAAGGGGCTAGATAACAACAGAAACCAAACTGTGGGACCAGAGCAGGGTCGAAATAACCCAAGGGCTGGAAGTGCTCAGGTATCTGGCTGAGTAAGAGGGAGGTATGTCTGGAAGAATTTCAGAGGTAGAAGACAGGTGCTTGCAGCTGTTTTTCATGGGGTCGCACTGATATCCTGAGTGTTTTGAACACCATGACATGGAGGTTGGTTATAAAAGCTCCTCGCCCCCAATATTTCCCTTCCTGGGGCGCTGCCTGATGTGATTTCTGAATTTCATCCATCTTTGACTATAGGGTGTCTCTTATCCTTTCTTCCCCCTTTCTTATGCATTTATTGAATGTATATATGGAGCGGGCTTGGGAATTTCTATTAAAACACAAATACCCTAGGAGGGGTGAGACCTTAATGTGGCCCGCAGTGAGATCTCAGTAATTATTTTTTGAATGAATGCATGAGACCATTATGAGGCACCATCTTAGAAAGTATTGTGATGACAAACCAGGAGGGATGACAGGCAGGTAGGAGGACAGGTGTGCGTCTGGCTGCTGAAAAAGGGGAATCAAGGGGAAAGAGGTCTCTTGGCATGTTTGTCTGACTGCACAATTTTTTTTTCAGAGCTGACTCTGGCTCAGTTCATTGGAGATGAATGATGTTAAAAAAAAAGCTGTTCAAGTCCTTGAAGATGAGTTTGTTTGTTTGTTTTCTTCGTCCAGCTATAATGAAAGGGCTCTTGCTTCAGGTGAGGACATCCGGATGACTCTGAATCAGGGTGTGCCTGTACCTGGTGTGATTCTTTTGTTCCACAAATTCTCTGTAGTTGGGACCCCTGCTTGTGGTCACAGTTTTGCCCACACAAGAGCACCTAGTTGAGGGGGCAAGTGGGGGCTAACATATCCAGCCTGCACTTTTCTAAGCCTCATGCTCAGGGTGGAGGGGCAGGGGTAGGGTCTGGATATGCCCTAAGAAAAAGAAAGCATTTTCTAATTTTCTCAGAGGTGGTTCTGTCACTGGAGGTTTTCTGTGGGTCATATGAATGTCATGGGTCACCAATACCGAACAGTAATTTTTCCATAATCAGGTTCTATATTGGATCTAGCACAAAAATTCATTCTAGACCTGCAGATTGCAGAACTGCTTCCAATGTTGGCACAGAGGGACCTGAGGGGGAGACTGGTGTTTATATGCTGCAGAAAAGAGAACAGGACGGGGGCTGAGGACCCCTGGGTGAATCTCCGTCCCACCACTGCCTCCCTGTGTGATAGGCTGAGGGTCACCTCCTACCCTCAACTTCTTCATCGGTGAGGTAGAAGGTGTGGTAGAAGGAAGGTGTGATGCAGCTTCCAACCTCAGATTCCCATAATCCTCTTATAATTCCACCAACAATTAAGGCCTCTATTTACCCTTTCAACATTCCTTTCTTGCCATTAATAACTAGTTTCAAAAAAGATGTCCACCAACTTGCATGTAAGTCCTTGGTATATGTAAGTTGGGGTCAGAGTTGTCCGAATGCACTGTGAAGATATATTGACAGAAGTTACCTTCTCAATTACTTTGGGAAGTGAACCAAGGAGTGAATGTACTCATCCAAAGCTACCACTAAGGTCAGGAAAGCAGAAAAGAATGTAGTATGTGTGCAAAGGCTCTTTGGGGTTGATTGAAAAAAATCTTTGATTCAGTCTAATTCTTAGTTTGTGCTCTGGGTCATGGAGGGAAGCAGAATTCAGTAAATGGGAAGAATATTTTGTCACTCAGATAACCAAGTTAAAGAGGAAATACCCACCAGATGGGTAACACTTCCTTGTAGAGCCTAGAAGATAAATCAAGACAGGAGCCGGTGACCTAAAGAACATTTGGCTGCCAAGTGATGTAATGATGGGATTTTTTCCCCTCTAACATTTTGCTGCCCCCCCTCTTTATTTTTCACCCAGTCAGCAAACTTCTGCTTTTTCCTCTGATTTCTGTTATTGTTTTTGGTTTTGCCCTCAGCTCTCTCTTTTCCTAGGCCTTACTTCTGAACGAAAGGCTGCTAAACCACAGAAGTTACTTTCGAAAGAGCTGAAGTATTTCCTTCTGTTTCCCTGTCCTTTGCTCGCCTCCTGCCATGCCGGCAGGCAGCCCTGCTTGGTAAGAGAGGCTGGTTTGGGAAGGGAAGGGGCGGGGGAGAGGGGAGGGCAGGCAGGGGGGGCAGGACAGAGGGGTCTGCTCAGCCCAGGTGAGGCAGAGGCAGAACTAATGAGAAGCACATGCCGACAACCATTTTAAAGGCTGGCTTGAGCCAAGGGAAGTGATGAATTGCAAGAATGTGTTGTGTTCATAGCTGGGGAGCTGGCAGAAATAGCCTAGCTAGAGGGCTAGGATGAAAATTGTTTTTTACGGACTCAGACTTAAAAATACATTTCTCTTTGTCAGCAAAATGTTCTAATTTCGAAACTATGAACGGTAGACTACCTCCATCAGACTAATGCATTCCTTTTTCACCTCCAATTTTGTAAGATACACCTTATCTTTAAATGACGAGACTAATGCCTCTAAAAAATAGACTTACATGAGAGCATGGCTGAGGCAGAGTATTTTCATACGCAGAAAATCTCAGCCCCCTGCCGGCACGAGTCGAGCCCCATTCCCCCTGCGGATCTGCGACGGACCGGAAGGATCTGAGCACTGACCAGGAGCACCTGCTCCTTCCTGTCCTTGTCCTTCTTCCTTCTCTCACTCCCACAATTCTCTCTTCTCTGCCTTCCTCCCATAATCATCTGTTAAGGATCTTCTAAGTGCCAGAGGCTGTTTAGGGGACAATATGATGGGGAAATAGAATCTAGATCCTCACCACCCACATCCATGCCCTTCAGATCGACCAGGATGATTAGAGAGGTTCTACTCCAGAACCTCTCTTCAAACAGTAAGTTCCCAGAATTAGAGCCCCTGCTTTCCAACAACAAATTTCTCAGGCTTTACTCTTGAGAAAGACCTTTGCTCAAGCCCAGGTCAGAACCTCACAATGGGAAGGGGAATGTTTCAGGTTGAAACTCTCAGCAGGTACAAAGTTTGCCTTTGGGCCCTTCTTGCTCCCTCTTCATCTCTCTCTCTCTCCGAGTTTACTGTGCTGCCCCTGGCCATTCAGTTCTTAGCTTAGTGTCAGCAGTATAGTGTCCATGGAGTTACTGTTCATTCCTGTTTTCCCGGGTGCCTGGCATAGAGCTGGCACTTCATAGCTAATCAAGTAGTTGCTAAATGAATAATGAATGCTTCCCCCCAAATGCCACTGTTCATAATTTCCTTCCAGTCTCTTGCTACTCAATCCAAACCCACGCAGCCATTCCTCAAATCCTGGTTCTGGCATATTATAATAAGAAATCTTGGGCAAATCACCTCACTCTCCGAGTCTCAGTTTCCCCACCTTTTAATGAGTTTGAACTTTAATTAATTTGACATACTTTTACAGGTATGCTTTGAGGATTCCCTCAATTGATAACTTAAATAAAATGCCTCATGTACTTCAAGGCATATAGTAAGCATTCAATAGATACTGGTGAACGTTTCTCCCATTCATTCCTTCTGATGATCTCTATCAAGTACTAGAAAAAATTAGTTGAAGAAATCATGCTAAGGTACGAATGAGGAATGGGTTTAGTCTTCCTAGTCTGTAGTAGAAAATTATGGAAGTGGTAGGTGGGATGGTTTTGAGAATCTGGGACCTCTCAGGGAGGGTGTCTCCCACCACGGGCCACCTCCCTTCCCCACTTTCTGCTCGCACAGCTGGTTCAGGCCCCTGTGGCTCCAGCCCTCCTGACTGGGTGTCATAATGAGGCCCCCACTTGTCAAATGCTCACGTACGCTGCAATTAATATTATTTAAACTTTCTTTAATGGGTGAGCAAGTTAATAGACAACAAAGACATCTGGATTGAGAAAAAAGAATGTATAAGAATTAAAACATTATAAAATTATATGACTACAGAAAATAAAGTAAGTAAATACATTTTCATTCCATTTTTCTTTGATGCACCCAATTAATCAAGCTTAGGAGGATAAAACCATTCTGATGAATCCATCTTGTACCTCCTATAAAACTAATGTTTTGTATACTTGAATTTAATTCAGACAGGAAGAAAATTATTTTAAATAAAAACAGTTTTTAAAAAAAAATGGATATAGGTCATTTTATTTGTGCACCCATTTTTCTAAACGAGTGTCTTAAGTTGAAGAAAATAAAGTGAATTATAAAATTTTATTACATTTAACTTTATTGAAAAGTTATATGATTGTGTTTCTTCAAATTTCCTAAAGAAAGAGTTATTTTATCGGACAGAGCAAAGTCCTTCTTTTTTCTTTTTCTCCTTCTCTCAGACTGACATGCCCAGCGAGGAAATACCCACTTATGGGTTCAAAATGCTAATGCATGTCTTTATTTCTCCTCACTCGCCATGAAGGTTTAAAAATTTATTTGACAATTAAACTGCCCAATTTAGAATTTTTCCTACCAATTATGAATTGTTTCATTGCACAGATCTGTGAATTAATCAGATTGATGTATAAACGTGCTAGCCGTGGTAAAAGAATTTAGTTTAATTTTTCTTTTTGGCAGGAATACATGTTCAAGTACATTATAAGTAGACAAAACATGTAGCTGAAATATTTTGGAAAAATGTGCCACAATAATCTCTCAAATAAAATTTTTTGATTTGAAACTCCTTCTTCTGTTATGTAGCGTGTCTTCAGGGTAGATAGTGAGTTCTTTAAGAGAGCTCTGATAGACCCGGCTGCAGAGCGGCAACTTCAGAATCTGCGTGCTATGTTCCACTTTCCTTCACTCTCCTTTGTACTTCGTGTCTTTTTTGAGCATTTGTATTATAAGCTCCATTTTAGATTGGGTAATTATATAAAATAGAGGAAAGAAATTCAAATAAAACAAGGGTTTCCCTTTGTCTCACACCCATTTTCATCTAAACTTAATCTCTTTTCTATTTCAATAAAGTCCTTTAACTTTCTTTCCCTTTTTGATAAAAGGAGGTAAAAGTAATTTTTAAAAGCAATGTGAAATCTATTCCCACTGCATTTCCAGACCGACTTCATGGAAAGAATGCATAATTTATAAGCATCTCCATGAAGATATCCAGAGCACGTAACACTAGGGTCTGGACGGATACTACACCTGCCCTAACTGGCCTCTGCCACATACAGCTGAGTGGCCTTGGACAAGTCCTGTAACGTCTCTGAGCATTGGTTTCTCCTGAGATGATTAAACAAAAGAGTATAAGTAAAGTGCATGCACAGTCTCTGACAGACAGTAACAATATATAAATAGGACTGTCATCATTCTCTGGGCACGGAAATAAATGAAATACCTCCTCCTTTATTTTTTAAATAGACAACACCAATTGCTGGAAGGTAAGAAACCACATGGATTCTTTAATTTAATTATTTATCCTCACCCCTGGGAATATTTTTATTGATTTGAGAGAGAGAGAGAGAGAAACACTGATATGAGAGAGAAACATCAATCGGTTGGCTCCCAGACGCACCCTGACTGGACTGTGGATCTAACCCTCAGCATAGACATGTGTCCTGACTGGGATCAGACCTGCAACTGAGCACTTCATCCTTTCACTAAGGCAAACTGGTACTAAATTCTACCACGTCCTGGCTGCTTAAAAGGTGATGCAATCTTAGAGTTTAGCTGGTCTCAATGGTCAAAAAAAAAAAAAAAAGAATCTCCTTAACTACTTATAAAGATAGTTATCATTAATCATTCAAATCAAGGAAGTCAGGACTTCTCTTGCTTCCCACTTAGGTTGATCTGATGTCATTCAACTGTGTTTGGAATTCACTCCCGCTCTCTACACCGTAGGCTACCTTAGATTTTCACTATGGTCCGTTCAACTCTTTACCTCGTTGATCTCAATTTATCCTCACAAGCCCTCTGCAAGAAGGGCAAAACTCAAAGATCCTTAGTGGTGTGATTCCTGGGCCAGGATAATTTTTTAAGATTACACAAGCCCAGGGAAACTGAAATCTCTTGTGTATTTATTAAAGTGAGCGTGTGTTTTAGAGAGCTACCAGTGCTTGGGCTTTGAAGGATGAGGCTGGGGCTGGGGGCACAATGTGAAAGGTCAGTGTGGTGTCAAGGGTCACTGAGCTTGACTGGGTTGTTGGAGAGGAGGTTCAGCATAGTGGATGGTGCCAAGCTTAGATTATTCCACTTTGTAAAATATTTGTGGCAGGTGTGAGGTGTAAGAATGAGTTCTTCACAGGGACATTGGCTAGGTTTCTCAGGCTAAGTTTTAAGTAACTGTTTAGGTGGTGTGGGCAAAGAGTTAATAAAGCTCTTTCCCTTTTTGCATGGGAATCTGACCTTTGGTTAACTTCTTAGCTCGGTTTCCCTGGAAACAGATAAAGATGGTATGTGTCAACTATGTTACCAGGCAACGTTGCATATGGTAAAAATGACCCTCAGTGGTAGGCTGCATCCGGGCTGGGGGAGCTACATATGAACTGTAAATACCTGATGGGAATGCCATTCTTTGGACTTCCCTGTGTGCAGCAATTCTCGTAACTAGAATGTCCCTTGAGAGGACCCTGCAAGCTATATATTTGGAGTTGTTATAAGAGTTATTGACTGCTGTGAGATACGAGAATTTTAAGCAAAGGCAGTTCCTTCACCTGCCCAATATGGATTCCATCAGCTTGCACCTGAGCTGGTAGGGCTCTAATTACAGAAGAATGCCTGATGCTGCTCTACCATTGGAGCTGCAAGCCATAGTTCCTGTCCTATATTCTGAGTAGGCTGATGTCAAATGTTGTGTTCAGGAATCTTCTGAGTCTAAACGTCCAGGTGAACCTAAGAACTGCCTGGTAGGTGTTGCAAGTCGGTTTGGTGTCATAGTGATTTCCTTTGGGTAACATGAGGTATGACTTCCTGGGGAGCGATCTGGAAAGAGTTAGGTCTTTCGTAGTGCCCGTATCCACATAAACTCAAATTCATCCACCCAGCCCACGCCGGTCAGCCAAATTTATTCAGAATCTGAAATGTACTACACATTGTAGATTCGAAGAATGTTTAAGACCCTTTCTCTCAATTAACTCTCATATCTTGTGGAAAGAGGTATATATGGATTACTAGCAATAATAGTTATGTCAGTGGGCAGTCCTTGTTAAGTACCACATACCGTGTTAAGCACTTTACAAGCCTTATCTTACTTAATCTTGAACAAGAATTCTGTGAAGTAGTGTGACTGCACATATTTTGTACATGGTGAAACTAAATCCCAGAGGGGCCGCCTTGAAGTTACATTTCTAGTCCAGCATTTTAACCCAGGCAGCCTGACTCCAGTCCCAGTCCTTGGCCAGGACGTTGCCTGATGTTGCGCACACCTTCCCAGCTGTTCTCACAAGCACTTCGTTCAACAATGCTCCTGGCTCTTCATCTCTTAAAATGTTTGAATGCCCCCTAATTAAAATTTATTTCAGAGAATAAGCAACTATTCTGGAAGCATCAGGATAACCAGGAGATAGGTAAAGGACAGAAAAAGGACAAAGTGTACCAGGATCTAATTGTTTATCAGGCCTTCCCCAGAGAAGGCTTAAGCTACTCTCTGAGCCAACCTGACTAGCCTCTTACTCCAGTTCTAAAGGGCTGGCTCGCACGTGGGCAAAAACTGCGTGCTGTGACATTTCATGTCTTCAATGACTCCCTTATGAGCAAGGTCACGAGATAAGATAAAACAATGGATCTAAAGTGATGGGCACTGAGCCCGTCATGTCATAAGCACACTATACACCACGGCTGTTAGTATTCTTGCTCCCCACGTTGCCTGCAAACTACTGATGATTGAGAAGGCCGACATCTTGGTGGCATGAGCACCGAGTATCCTCTTTAATCACATATGTTCCTGTGTGTCTGTCAGGAACAATTACTAAAGGCTTCTTGGGTAAGCTGTGGAGTGTCGGAGAAAATACAGAGGGCCAGGTATCATTCCTCAGAGGGATGCCTATGACAGACATCTTTAGGGACAGACTAGGAGATTTGAAAGTGTTTGGTGAGCCCTTACGAAGAGGCACCCACCACATAGAAATTGTCAGCTCTGCAGGTCTCCTCCAGAAAGGGGCCTGGTTAGTCCCTGGAGGATGTTAGCCATTGTTAATGCTACTGCACTGAATTCACATAGAAACAAATAAGGTGATAAGGGGTCTGTTTTCTCTTCGCCATACCCCAATGCCTCGGATTTAACCATTCCATGCTGCTCCTGCCCAGTCTTCACTAAATATGACTGTGACCAGCAGTCAGCCCACCTCTGCACTGGGGTACTTTGGTGCTGAACTATGATTCTTTTCTGTGCACTAGAGACTGTCTCATCTTGTGCCTGGAGGCCTTTTGTGAGTTTCCTTCAACCCCTAAATAAACAGGGAAATTCACTCTGCATTCTAATTCTGGAGATGCTCAGCTCTCTCTGAAGGGTCAGTAGTACCTGTTCAAGATTTCTTTAGCTGTGGGTTCGGTTGTGAAACATTGAGTTCCCTGTGGCTGGTTTTCCACATATTCTCCCCCCCCCCCCCACCCTGCGGCGAGGCCTGGAGACAAAAATAATCCAAGACAAAAGATCTCAGAAGAAGGTCCCACCTCAGGTGATGAAGCTTCACTAGCCTGGAAGTCTGGGGCAAGACTTCGTGTTTGGACCTAACAGGGAACAGACCAGAACCCCAGTCAGTTCTTTATTCCAGTCCTTCACCAAAGGCTGACTGAGCAGGTACTGTGCTAAGTTTTGGGAACAAGTGGTTGACAAAACAAGGTGCCTTCTCTTGAGAAATCCAAAGTCATTTACTGCTCATGTAAAATAGAACATGTTTATGAGTTCCTAAGGAAAATTAAAAAAAATTCTCAAACTCTAACAGAAGAAGAGTTCATCACTTCTTCTGGCCGGGAGATCTAAAATGTCTGACTCAATGACGGGAAACACTGTCAACTGCTACCACCAGAGCCTTCCCATAAGAGAAATCTGTAGCAGGGCGATCTTGATTATCTCAGAAATCCCAGACAGAAATGGAAGCAATATAAATAAACATAAAAGAAAATAGAGGTGCTGTTACACAACTATAAATTGCTCTTATCCCCGACTTTCTTCCAATCGTCCAGGGCAGAAGAGGGAAGTTGGTTTTTGTGGCAGAGAATAGACCAACAGCTGTTCTATATCCTGCCAAGAGGAGAGAGACTTATTATAAATAATAGCCAACAATACGTCCTTTGGGACTGAAGACAGCCAGTTTGGGGGGGGCGTGGAGGAGAGAGGGAGGTTTAATGGAACGGAGTGGGGTGAGCAACACAGCAGAGGGTGAATCAGGAGAAAACCCTATCAAATTTTCCTGTGTACTTATGTTTCTGTTACCTCATTAGGGTGATTACATAATGCTACTCCATTTATAAACTAAAAGAGAAATAAGGGACAACAGTCTCATTAGCAGTGACTGATCCGAGACATTAACATACCAGTAAGTCATGTGGGCGAACAATTAATATGTTTGGGAACATCTTTCCTTTCTCTCTTCATCTGTTTGGTATGTTGCTTGCCTCTTCCCTCGTCTTAGCCATATATGTGTATCTATGACTCAGAAGTGGAGATGGGCCTCACAGCTTGGGTGCCCTGGTTTTGAGGGCTTTACATGTAAGAAATCCATGGAGTTTGTTTTACTGTTTTATATTCTATTGGAAGAAAAAAATGAACAACCTTCCTAAAAAACTTTTTTTTCTTTTATTGATTCCAGAGAGAGGAGAAGCAAGGGGGGAAAAGAGGGAGAGAAACATCGATGCAAGACAGAAACATCGACTGGTTGCCTCTTGCACCTGCCCCAACTGGGGACCAAACCTGCAACCCAGGCATGTGCCGAGAATCAAGCCCGTGACCTTTCGGTTTGCAGGACAATGCCCAACGCACTGACTCACTCCTGCCAGAGCAAAAGAATCAACAGTGCGAGAGCACTGTATAGCTGTCTGCCGTTGCTCGCTACCAACTCCCCACAGGGCTTCCTAGCAAGATACAGATGGGAGATGTGAAATTTCTCACTTTTTAAGATGTTTTTTCTACTTGTGGAGAAACACCATTCTTTCACAGACTCTTCCTTGCCAGTGTCCTAATTCCAAGCTGCAACTCTCGATGGGAGTATTTTGGGGGGCATCTGTTTATGAATATACTATTCATTTGCATCTCAATTTTTAAACAGCTCACTAGGAACTATAAAATTCATAAAGAGATATTTAACAAAATAGGAAACTGAGTCCCCAACTGTGAAACAACCTGCTCAGGTAGTCAGAAGAAGAGCCCAGGCTGGGACCCGGCACCAACAGGAGTAACATGGAATGTGACTGTAATACCTAATTTCTAAAGGAGGTTGGGTAATTTAAGGAGTGTCTGCTTTCCTCACGAGCTCTTCTAATGAGGGAGCAGTGTGAGGGGTGTTCGCTAGAGATCAATCCTTTTATAAAGGGTCTCTCAGAAAAAGGATTAGCTGTTCAGCCTGTATTTATGTCTTACACGTGGTTTCAATTTGATATACTTACTCCTTATTCCTACATAACCCTATTTCATCTCTGTCTTTCTCTTCCCATTTTCTCTTATATTAACTCTGGTTTTAATTTGGGGGGCTCTCAAATGCATTCTTGCAACGTTATTCTTTCTCTCAAGACAAGCACTTAGTTTGAGTTTGTTCTCTTGGTTGCAAACTAGATGAAGAGTTTGGGGCGTCTGGCACTGCGCATGAACAGGAAGGGGCATCTGTATTCAGAGTAGAAAAAATTAAATTTAAACATGTAGACTGCAGACAGCAAGTTAGGGACACTGTACTGTACCTGGGGCCTGGGAAGTACTGGTTACATAAATTAGCAATCAGTCTATTTGTTAAGGTACACGGTTCCATATGTTTTCTGTTCATACTATTTTTGGTTACAATATCTTAACTACCCACCAGGTGGCATCTGCTTCAAAACTCTCATAAATTCCATTTAGATTTCAGGACAAACAGGATACTGATACATTGAAGCTTCCCATAATTGACTTCTACATTTAATACCCAGAAATTGGCTGCTAGAAGCTACATGAGGGTAAACAATTTATTCTCTTTTGGGGGGATAAGAGTCATTCTTTTCTCTTTCTAAGCTGGCAGCAGCAGCATGGATACCTAGGAAATCCTCAGTCATTTGAAAGGAAACATAATAAGAATTAAACCCAGAAGCTCTCTTTCTTTCTTTTCAAAAAATCTATTACTATAGTTACTTTCAACAATAACTGAGAGCTGAATATTAAGGGCAGATTCAGAAAAACAAAGCTAACCTCAAATCTCTTCTAAGGGAGAGAGAAGAAAAAAAGGGGAGGCGGCTCCTATCAGGAGTAAGGGGTGAATGAATACACAAAGCTTTATGGATAGTTACCATATAGAGCCTTTTTCCTCTTTACTTTGTATGAAGAGATGGGTGTGATTGAATGACTTCTAACGTTTAATGACACCTTTGCTCCAGTGCTTTGTAAAGCTCACACATGAATACACCAGTCCATTTCCCCATGATCCTAGGGGCTCCATTCTTTTGTGTCACACACAAGGAGAAGGGAGAGAGAGGGACAGAGAGAGACAAAGAAGCAGCCAATGTCACCAGGCTCCAAACATGATTTAAACAACCAACTTAGTAAACATCAATCTTAGGATGCATTATGTGAAGTGGAGCCATCCTGCAAAAGAAATGTTGGCTACATTTAAAAGATCACTTTGTCTAAAGAAAATGCCAAGCTGAATTTCCAAGCAGTAACTCATCTTTCTACAAGAAACTGACGAGACAAAAGCAACAATGTGAAAAGGTGTAAAGAGTGGTTCATCTGACAAAAAAATAATAGTGTTATAAAGCTGTTGCTTTTTTTTAAGGGCCTGTTTCTCTTGTCCTTTATTATTTGTTAGGGAATCAATGTGGCTATGAAGAGCAATGTGTTAGAATCAAAATACTTGTGTGACTTGCTGGGCTACTTTGTGTGAATTACGTCACCTCCCTGGCCCCCAGTTTCCATCTATGTAACATTAGAGGATGGGACTAAATGACTTTTAGGTTTACTTTCGGCTTATATTTGTTCCAACGGGGCATCCTTGCAGCCGCAGAGCAGCCTCTTAGGACGAAAGAGTGAGTGTGAGTCATAGGAAGGACAGGGGGAGTTCGGAGAGTGGTAGGCTCTGGAACTACTTTGCCAAAACTGAGCCATTGGAAAGGTATGCAGTAAGGAAGCATTTCAAAACCCTTTGAATTGCGTCCCTCTCCCCCACCCCCAGCCCCCTTTAATTCCATGGCTGTTTTCTGAGAGGGAAAAAAAAAAAGAAATACAGGTTTGGAAGTAAAGTCTAAGAAATGAATCTGTTTTGATCTCACTTTTAGCTAAAAAATAAAGTGCCTTTTGACTATTTGATTCTTTAGGTGTAGCATCAGGCACGTCCGCGAAGCTCTGCAAGTTTGAAATTTTAAAATGCCTGACATCTCTTCCTGCCTCTGCCTCAGTTAATACACACAATGGGTTCTTCAGAAATGCAGAGTTAGAACATTTGAAGCAGCTGAATACTGACTGAATGCTGATTTACATGAAAGCTGAAAGTGTACAGTATCAATAAAATGTATCTTTGACATCTTGGCTTCCAGAGGAACACACTTCCTTTGTTCATTCACAAATCTACTCTATTTCCACCTCGGATTTAATTATCTTCCTAGTTCTCATTTGCGTATGTGTAGGCTACCATTCACAATATGCCATGCCCTGCATGTGGGAGGCACAAATCTTTTCATATATTAAAAAAAAGTGGACCAGTCATTTTTACTGCATAGTATGTGCTTTTGACAAAGCCAGAAGGATGCTAACTGCATCCCAAGAATACCAGAAGGACACCAGTGTCCTTGAACTAAAATTTGCTGTTTGGTGTATCCATCCACGTCACTTAGTTGAGACTTTCAACTATGTGTCAGATGCATAAAATGCATAAAAGAATTGATTTAAAAAATAAAATCATAGGCTGTTGGAACTGGAGGAGGCTTTATAAAATAATCTAGTTCAATTCGTTTTACAGATGAGGGACGTGAAGCTCAGGGATGTCTATGGTTTGCCCCCAATCACCCGGGTGGAGAGGAGCAGAAGGGAGACTAGGACTTGAATTTTTTGGACCTCCACCTCCCTATCAGTTACACAACCACGATTCTCATGCTCTCCAGCACCCATCTGTCTCTCCTCCAAAATCAAATAACCTCTGAGTTGCAGGTCCTGCTGTAGACCTGCTAAGCAAGATAAAATATCCCTGTCCCTCAAGAAGCTTACAGTATAGTTAAGTTTGCTCTTCAATAATCTTTTTTCTTGGGGGGGGGAGCTAGCTTACTAGTTGTTGTTAATAAATATTAAAAATAATATCATTAACAAATGTTACACTTTCTTTATTCTCTAAATACAGCAGCACTTCTTTTTTTTTTTTTTTTTTGGCTTCAGCAGAGAACGAGGTGTTCCATGTTGGTAGAGCCTGTAGACCTCTGAAGTCCAAACTTTGAACAGAAATCTTTCTTAGATACACTTCCTTAAAGTGTATTTCATGTTTTCCCGCCTTTGAAAACAAAGAACAGTGCAGACGACTTAACTTTGCTTTTTTGTAAACCATGACTCAGAGTAATGCCTTAGCAACAGACGTTATCATACTGGATGGTGATGCTGTTATGTGTCTGATTTTCCAGGTCCCTCTTTTAATATCAGGCAATTAATATTTTTCACTGAAAATTAGCCTTACTTCTAGTAGCCCTTTCACACTCCCTTTAAAGTTTCAGGGCCAGGAATCCTTTCAGGAAGTTCATTAAAAATTATAGCTTGCCCTGGCTGGTGTGGCTCAGTGCATTGAGTGCTGGCCTGTGAGCCCCCCCAAAAAGGTCACTGCTTCGATTCCCAGTCAGGGCACATGGCTGGGTTGCAGGCCAGGTCCCTCAGTTGGGGGCATGTGAGAAGCAACCAGTTTATGTTTCTCTCCATCTCTTTCTCCCTCCCCCCCTTCTCTAAAAATAAAGAAATAAAATCTTTAAAATATATATATATCTTAAATCTGTGTCAGCCTTACTTGAAATAAGACTTCAAGTAAGTGAGGTATAGTATACATTCCTTTAATGGCTAGATTTGATGACCAAAATTACACATTTTTACTGATTATTTCTAAGCTTAAAATGACATAGGAAGTGCTGGGGACACTGTGTGCTCTGGGCCAGCTGGCCAACCCTGCAGTCGGCCTCAGACCAGAGCCTTTCATCTAATCCCCGGAGCAGAAAGCAATGGGAAGGCCATGTAAATCCAAGCAGTTTCTAACAACAGCAAGATTGCCTCTTTGAGGTACTTGGTTTCAGCAGAACCCAATTCTTTCTACTACAGTTGCAGAAGCCGTGAGAACTCTGCTCAGCTGCCCCACTGAGTTGGAGCCCAACGGCCCCAGCCTCCACTCACAGTGTGACCTACTGGTGAGTGCTGTGTTGAGCCCTTTAGATAATGGGATTCCTGCATTCTGTGCACCTCTGTGAAGTAGACAGTACTATGTCACTTCCCAGAGGAACCCAAGGCACGCGGACTTTGGGCAGTTGATCTAGGGTAAGCTAGCAAGTGGGGAACTGGGACTTTGGACTCTCTTTGTCACAGACATTCACGTGACCTAGATGATGACTCTGCAAAACTATGACTGAAATTGCTTAAATCATGTGAAATGTATACCTGATACGAGCACTGAGCTGTAAGATGACAGCTGCACGGTAGTAAAAAGCAATGTTAAAGAAAAGACAATCTTGATGATAGCTCAACGCTTGTCCCTCTGCAGCCCTCAATTAAACATTTCTAACCCTCTACTTTCATGTTCTCTGCATATGCTCTATGGTGAAGTGTAAGGTCAAGGAAGGCACCAAGGAGCCCGTATTATGTAATGAACATAGAAGTAGACAGGACTACCCTCTGTCATGTATTCCAGACTTATTGGGGGGCTGACCATGGACAGATATTTTCGTGGTCACCAAGGGCGTAAAGGTGGATAGAAAGTGGTCCTTGCCCGTGAGCTTCTGACAATCCCACAGGATTTTCAATGTGTTTAGTGCCAAAACAAAAACGTGCTGAAGGTGCCATGGGAACATAACAGTAAGCTCTGCTCAAGGAGATGACCAATGGTCTGGGATGAGTGGGTTGAGAAAAGCCAGGAAGGACGGGGAAGGACACATCAGGTGGAGGGAACAGCATGAACAGAGGCACGGAGAAATGAACGAGCTTCAGGTGATGTCTTCACCATGGCTGACGCCATGAGCCAAAGTAGTAAAGTGAAGCAGGAGCTTTATGTGCTGAAGTTTAAAAGTTCTGTAAAATGATCCCATCACAATAATGGCCATTTTTATAAGTACAATGACTAAGTAGACGTATGACTAAATTTTCTGGCACAATTATTAGTAGACAAAACATGAAATTGAAATTTCTGGAGAAAGCCAGGACACTACAATGAACAAGTGATGCTTTGGGATCCCAAATGGAATTCCACCTACTTGGAACCTTGTGTTATCTAGCATGTTTTTATTCAATTACAAACTTTGGTCCCTGTGACTTTTCAAACTATTCATCCTGATTTTTTTAAATTTAGAAAATATTATTATTTACATTGTTACACAGCATAAGATCACCCGCATAACCATTTGATAACATGTCAATGGGAAACATTAATACATGCACAGAGGCCACGGATCTAAATGAAAAGACCC